ATAGTTAAAACAAAGAAACCTGAACCACCCAGTCCTACACCAGCACCAACCCTTGGTCTAGGTAGAGGGTCTATACTTAGTCGAATTAAACCTCCCAGGTACAAATAAATTATAATTGCTAAACAAAATCTATATTTATTTGAATTATATTTAAGTTTTATTCAGACATAATTATAAATCGTAACATCTAAAATAATTGTATTTTTTAGTATTCATTTTCAGTTCATGAAATTTTTTATTTTTTTTTTCTATAGTCTTCAGATACATTGTTACAGTATATGCTTTGTTACATTCCATATATTTTTATATATTTTCTATATATTTTTAAAAAATATACAGGAGAGTAATAAACATGAAATTAGTAATATAAATATGTTTAACATTATAGTACTAATGTACATCTTTATAGTTCAGTTGTACAGCCTATTGAACAGCCAAGTATTCTTGGACCATCTGGCGATGCTGCGGGAGTATTAGGTAAACTGTCAGATCTTACAATAGAAGATACTGTCAGTTCAACTGATATATACTACCAAAAACCTAAATCAACTCTTCGACAGGGCACTGAAGGAAAACCGTAAGTTTACATGCATGTATCATTTTTGTAAAACTATTTTAAAGTATAAGTGGAAAACATCATAAACTACATAATAAAACTTTAGGGTACAATTGAGTGCCAACTATATCAATCTGAAATTGGAAGCTGGAAAAGGATTATTCAATTATGAAGTAAAATTTAATCCTGACATAGATTCTAGACCACTTCGTAGAAAACTTCTTAATCAACATTTACAAGCACTTGGACGAACAAAAGTATTTGATGGAGTTATACTCTATTTGCCACAAAAATTAAAGGAAGATGTAAGTAATAATAATAATAATAATAATAATAATAACAACAACAACAATAATAATAATAAAGAATAATTACGTACTTACTCACAAGGCATACAATTTTTAGTCAACAATTTTTGAATCTACACATCCTATGGACGGCTCAACAGTAACATTGACACTAATATTTAAGAAACAGCAAAGCATGTCTGAAAACATTCCATTTTTCAATGTTCTACTTGGCCGTGTTATGCGAGCCCTTAGCTTAGTTCGCATTGGTCAACATAGTTTTAACCCAAAAGGAATACATGCAGTACCACAACATAAATTAGAAGTATGGCCTGGTTATGTGACTACCATTAATGAATACGTAGGAGGTTTAAAGTTGTGTATAGACGCAAAACATCGTGTTATGCGTACAGAAACAGTACGTGATATGATGTAAGAATTAGAAATTATTTTTCTAAGTATTTGATGTTATAGAAGTAATCTAATAATATGCTACTACAATGCAGGGTTAATTTAGGGAGCAAGCCGAATATGAGAGATCTGATTATGAAGGAATTAATTGGATTATCTGTATTTACCAGATATAATAACAAAAGTTATTGTATCGACGATATTGATTGGGATAAAAACCCAACATATGTTTTTGAGAAAGGAGATGCAAAAATATCTTTACTAGATTACTATAAACAACATTGGAACTTACAAATAAAAGATACTCAGCAGCCACTTTTAGTTAATTGTGCAAAAACTAAATCATCGACTGGTGCGGTAAGTCATTTGTTTCTGTTGGTATTACTAAATAATTAATAATTTTGATTGTGAAACTTTTCTATACAGCCTCAAGAACAACTGATACTCTTAATTCCCGAGTTATGTTTTGTAGCAAATTTAACTGATAGTATTCGTTCAGACTTCAGAATAATGAAGGATCTGGATGCATTGACAAAAATGTCACCCAATGCTCGTCGTGATGTATTTAGGCATTTTGTACAGGAAGTACGAAATAATGATATTCCACGACAAATATTAAGTGAATGGGGTTTACAGCTGGAATCAGATTTAGTTGCCTTTACAGGAAGAGTTTTAGAACCTGAAGAAATAACTTTTGGTCAGAACAAAAAATTTAGACCGCCACCTCATAAACCGGCAGACTGGGGTTCTGCAGTTTGTAGAAACCATATGTTACGCACAGTAAGGATTTTTTGTACATGCCTCATTCTTATACAACTTAACAATAGTACTAAAATCCAGTCGATAAGTGCTGAGCGGCGCGATCACGCTTTCTTAATTTCATGTGGAAAAATACTGTATATAGTAGTTGCAATTCCATAATTGATTAAGTAACACTTAGTGTTCCTACGATTACGAATTTATGGAAATCTTATAACAAATTAAAACTATTATTATTTCATATTGTTGATACAATTGAACCTCACGGGCTCATTCCGTTCCACTTTTCAACACCAAATGCGGTTAATACTTTATTTGTATTTTTAGCCACATTTAAATCACTGGTGTGTCTTATATTGTCAAAGAGACACGAGATGCACCGAAGAATTTGTTGGTATGCTTAAAAGTGTTTCAAAAGCAATGGGTATGAATGTTAGGGAACCACGGATAATTTGTTTACGAGATGATAGGACTGAAACATATATTCAAGAATTACGTAGAAACATTCAGCAGAACATTAATCTAATGGTTATTGTATTTCCTACAAATCGAACTGACAGATATTCTGCAGTAAAGAGGTCAGATGGAAATTTCTAAACTTTTAAAGTGATTATGTCTTATTGTAAATCTGTCATTTATTGTTTAGAGTATGCTGCGTAGAAATGCCTGTACCCTCTCAAGCAATTATGTCGAGAACTATATCTCGTGGTGATAAGCTAAAAAGTATAACAGAAAAGATTGCCTTGCAAATTAATTGCAAATTAGGTGGAGCCCTTTGGGCACTGGCTATACCAATGGTATGGAAATAACATTTTGAATTCTAATTTTATTCAAATAAAACAAATATAAATCCTAAATTTGATTCTACTAGGATAATTGCATGATATGTGGTATAGATGTATACCATGGAGGTATTGGTCAATCTACAAATCGAAGTGTCGCAGGTTTTGTTGCAAGCCTTGACAAACTACTAACAACTTGGCACAGTAAAATTTGTCTACAAGGTCGTCACCAAGAACTAGTAGATATGCTCCAAATCTGCATGATTTCAGCATTAAAAGCTTATTACAAGGTACTTCCCAATTTACAATTGTATGCTGTATTAATATGTTGCATGGTTAATATTTTATATCGTAGCATAATAAACGTTACCCGGACCGCATTATTGTTTATCGAGATGGTGTTGGCGATGGTCAAATTGAAACTGTTGCTAAATACGAAGTGAAACAATTATTAGCAACATTTAAAAATATAGAACCAAGCTATCAGCCAACGTTAACTATTATAATAGTTCAGAAACGTATTAACACACGATTATTTGCAAAATGTGTAAGTTTACAAATAAGGAAACAAGCTTCAAGAAATTGTGCTGCTTAATCATGCAAAATTATTTTTATACTTTAGTCCATGGGCTTGGAGAATCCATTACCAGGAACAGTTGTGGATACATGCATAACCCGAGCTTCTCTCTACGATTTCTTTTTGGTCTCACAGAATGTAAGAATGGGTACAGTGTCACCGACTCATTATATTGTTGTTTATGACAGCAAAAATATGAAGGTAGAACATATACAACGATTAACGTACAAGCTTTGTCACTTGTACTATAATTGGCCTGGTACTGTAAAAGTTCCTGCTCCTTGTCAGTACGCTCACAAACTTGTTTCCCTTGTTGGACAAAACATACAGTTGGAACCTCATCAGTCGCTTGCCGATACATTGTTCTACTTATAAGTTATTTTTTAAGACAGTTCAAAACAAATTTAAACCGAAACTATTCAGACATATAAGATCTCAATATTTGTTATACAGTTTTATTACAATAGAATCAAAATATTTGTACATATTTCCTTTATTCACTTTTCTCTGGAGATATGAAAAACAATAAATAAAAAGGTAAACTTTCTTTTATTTATCGAACATAAACGTTCAATCTTTCACGTTTATATTCTATATTTTATAGCAATAAAAATATTATATAACTAGTATTATTTGAAGGTATTATATAGATACTTAAAACATTTTGTTTCGTTAGAATATTATTCGACTGCTTAGTATTTCTAAGTGTATATACCAAAAATATTATGTTTTCATAAATACAGAATAGATAAGGTAATTATTGTCATATGTAATAGAAAATTATGTGCAAAGGTAATAGAAAAAAAACTCTGTTCTATACTGTAAGCAAATACTATATTTTTGTAATAAATTATTACAGTGAATTATTACTATTTTATGTCAACACATTGTCTACTGCAGCTAATTACTGTGAAACTAATGTTTTAATTCGTGAATCACTAAACACATATAAATCATGTATTACAAAAAATTAAGTCTTGGTTGGACACGAACTTTGAACCTTGTACATGAATATCCAATGTTTTAGCGACTTTATCAAATGCGTGCTTCACCTTAATCTACATATTAGAACAGACCCAATGAAATACGTGGGCTAATGACTATCTTTGTCTTTTAATTTAATGCAAATATAAACCACGTCTGTGTTCACATTTTCGGGTGTGTTACACTATATACATACATCACTGTTAGAGAATACAAATATTTTCTTCAATACTCTTAAAAACTATCACTACAGTCGATTAGTGTAGAGTGTAGAGGAATTTATTTATGTGCTTACGTATGTGTTTACAAACGACCCTGCCGATGAGAATTCAATACCTAGAACGACGTGAACAAAATGCGTGTATCCATAGTCGTCCACCTTGACTTGAAAGCACGCATATGTATACATATGTTCGTGCAAGCGCACGTTTCTACGTTACAACGCCCTATGTAGTGTGAGAGCATTAAAAGAAGCAATGGCGTAACAAAAATTATACTGGTTGAAAATTGTATCACAACTAATGTATCACACACATTTTCAATTATGTTACGTTAACACTTCTAATGTACATCACTCATCAATCGAAATGTGTCCGTGACTAATAGTACGTCACATTATTTTGAATCGTAAAAATAAAACGCGATTAATTTTACGATTAAACTATCGAAATCGATTCTAAACAAGTATATATGCAAAAAAAAATTGCATTATGAGTAATGCTGAGTTAAATTGAATTTTAAATACTAGTTTAGATAATGAATGATGAAATTAATGCAAACTATTACGTCAAATGTAACTTGAAATCTTATGAAATAAAATGATTTTATTTATGTACACAAAATTATACAAAAATATTTTATTTTGGTTATGTTGTTAATGTTTGCACAACAATTTTTATTTTACATTCTAAAGAATTTTGTTGCAGTGAAAATAAAACTAAAATGATCAGACAATTTAGTGCTGATAGGATTTAAAATAACAATATTAAATAGTACATAGATACTAAACTGCAAGCAAATCTGATGTTTTGAACATGACATGAAAATTTATGGGACAAAATACCTTTGACTGAATACTCTAATGTCTTTTGTGGTGGAAAAAAACTAAATAGAGAAAACATAAAATAATAAAATATGTTTGATTACACATTAAAATTTTACACTGGATTGTTAATTCTTATCATTTATATAATCCTCAAGAGGGCATAATTTAAAGACTATTCCAAGTGCACATGACTAATGAAGTCCTAAAGCCTAAGGTTTTTGATATTCTGATGTGAAATGTGAAAATCTTAATAAATGAATGGTTATCTTAATAGACAATTTATATAATGATTGTATTATGCATCTCACTCACATGATAACATATATAATCTATTTTAAATTTATTATTTAAAAATACATTGAATGCAACAATTACTTACAAATTTAAGGTGCAACATTTTATTCATTTTCTTTAAAGAATAAATAAAAATCAATTAATACTTCTTTTATTTAGTACTTAAGAATAAATCTATATATCTTAAATCTTCATAGATGAATGTGAAATGTAACTGCAACTGTTTTCCTTTCAGCATCCACTTTTCAAAATAAAGGTTTTAATAATGTTAGAATCTAGTATGTGCGTATTGTGAACAAAATTCACCTTTTATTATCAAGCATTGCCAATGAACGGAGAATTCCGAATGCTACATCAGACGTTTGCTACAGGTAAATAGTATTTTATTCCAGTAACAATGGATCTGATATGGGTGTACTCTGTTTACTACTTACTATTTGAAAGGTGCGTTTTACTCAGCTCTTATCATCAATAACTAACGTTTCTCGGAAGGATGTAGCGCAACTAGAATGACCTCCGGGAGGATCCACCGCATTGCGGTGTTTAGTCGACAAGATAGTTACGCCACTGCAAAGGAGGCAACCGCATGTGTACGTAAATACGTACATACGTATGTGTATTTACGGTCGTGGCGTATCGCGTATCGAGTCGCCGCCGTCGCCGCCATTCGAGTAGTTAGCGCCTGCGTACATCTTGTTTACAACTGCGGAGCTTACCATACACATGACCTTTACAAGATGGACATGAGCGCCTATTTAGCTGTCTATGCGTGCGACGGAAAAAAGTTCAAGATCCGTGTGTGTTGTTTGTGAAGAAAGTCGTTGTGTGTGGGAGGAACCACGGAATCGGGTGATCTCTAGCTTGGTTATTGTGAAAAACAGTCAAGCCACAGGTTCGTGATCACAAGTGACGCGGTATTTGTCGCTCGCACGCGGGCGGTTGGGGGACGAGAGGGATGGTGGGTACTAAAGGAGACCCAAATTTTTCACCTCAAGCAGATGTGATTACCGTGGACAGATTTTACGTGCGTCCAATCTGGAGTGCTCATGTTCATATCAAACCATGCACATTGCAGTAATGTTAACTGCACCGTGAACTCCATTTGTGTGTTTCCTTCCGTAAAGTGCTCGGCACATAAGGGGTGTGGGAAGAGAAGTGCGTGTTCCTGCATCGTCCTGGAATGCTGTCGTGTTTTGATGTGCCTACTATTGCGCATGAAAAAATCGTCCTGCCCTTGACAATAGCCTATTTACCCGAAGCGGACCGCCTTTATACCGCGCCAACCAACGATAACAAGGGTTCAACCACCCACCTGCGTGTGCGTCGCCTGCGTGTCCCTCTCTTTCTCTACCTCTCTACGTATTTCCTCTAAACGTACTCGCAAAACGAGCAAACAAGCGAGTAGCCAAGAACGCGCGCGCTCACGCTTTCGCGCGTGTGTGTGTACACGTGAACACGCCCGCGTATGTCTCTCTCTTGTATCATCGTGTGTACAAGCATATCTTTATATGTACTGCCTGTGTATGTATACGCGCCACCATTGTGGACCACCACGCAGTAAATTGTGTTATTCGATGCGGTAAACAGGTGCACGAGCCTTGCTTGCAGCCCAGAAAAACAATTCTCAGAGGCTCCATCGTTTACCTGATAAAGATATTTAGACGAATGTGAAATACGTGAATGCTGGCGAATATTGTTGACCATAGTCTGTGTCTAAACCTCTCCGGGATACTGGAGCAACGAATTGTGGCGGGCGAAATTCGAAGAAAACGTGCGTGACAGGTGGAACCCAGGCCTTTGGTGAACCGCCATCGCAGAAAACCGAGCAGGTACATTCGTCCGTGTTTTCTAAAAATCCGGCAAGGAGGGTTTTCGACATGTATCATACGACTATGTATTTCTTAAATCTCTAACCACGGAAAACGTGTTTAGTCAATAGCACGTCTTTGCTCGAACAGCAGCGGAAAGGCCGATCTATGCGACGCCCTTAGTACACGTTAAGTGCACATGCACTGTGGTGGCGTGTTATTGCTTATTTACCCCCGACACGTGCTTCCACCGTTAGCGTGCTTCGAGTACAACGATATCGACGACGACCTTTTCACGATAAAAGCAGGACGTCGGACACGTTGCGCGTAAAAAACAACACAACACAAGTGTACGAGTTTTAAAAAAATGTTTCCTGAATTTTTATGATGTGTGTGAGAGTGATCACTCGTGGTTGGATTGACTTGGATACTCTCGTCGTTGCCTTTCTTCAGTAACAATAGTTTGAAGCGGAAGTGTTTTCCCGTATGATCTCTTTGACAACGTGGATGGAAATACGGATTCTGCTACGATGAACTATCGCAGTAACATGTTGTGGTGCAAGACGCATATGATGAATTGATTACTAACGACTGCGTCGTACCATGTAAATGGTACAAAATAGTGTCACTTGAGGACTCGTAAGATTCTTCGCAACGACGGCCTTTTTGATCGTCACCGCGGCGATGTCTTCGGGCAGGGGTTTAGTCTCCCCTTCAGGAGGACCCGTTGTTCGCTGCGGACATGTAAAGAAACTGAAGACCCAAAAGAAGAAATTCTTCGTCTTACGAGGCGAGGCGCCTGGATTTCCCCCTTGTCTTGAATATTATGACAGTAAAAAGAAATTTGACAACAGGCAGCCGCCGAAGCGTAGCATCTTGCTAGACAGCTGCTTCAATATCAATAAACACATGGACACCAAACACAAGCATGTTATCGCGTTGTACACGAAAGCCGAATGCTTCTGCCTGATCCTCGAGAATGAAAAAGAACTGGACGAATGGCTGAATGAGATGCTTTTACTTCAGGGCGGAGATTTAGCCGATGGAGAGCAACCTCGGCCTATATTTGGTAATGCACTATTACGGTTTGAATTAGAATTAGACCGCATATTGGGGACGAACGTTTCACTCGTAAAAAAAACTCGACGGTATTTTCGGTAAAAGGTTCTCCTCGGTGTTCGAAAATATGAGCGGTACTAAACTCCGATGTTTTGGAGTTTCGAGCCAGTTGTTTACCTGTTTTTTAAATGCGTCACTGCCTAGGTATAATGTCCCAGTAAAAAATAATGAAAACGAGAAACAAAATAAGACATTACCGTTTTGTTAACAAATGCAAATTATGTTTTTGTTGTTTATCAACAAGATTTGTAACAATATTTTAAAAGAATCAAGTGAAAAGGAGTCAATCTTTTAATATATTTACTGTTATACATTAATAACAGTTTTTTAAACGTAACTTTTATGGAATGTAATACTTGTACATTATTATTCTACATTGTATTAGGTATCTAAATATTTAAATGTTCATGTGATATATGAATGTAATTTAAGTATGCAGTTTATGTATATTTAATAGTGAGTTATGCAGTCAAGAAGATATTTTTCACACTCTGGTATTCAGAAGAATCTATTTCTATGATTGGTCAATGTACTTGTAGCAGAAAGAAAATAACAAATATAATTGTTTCACAGCACTATGTTATATATTATCAATTATAGTGAGATATAAATATAACATTTTATTTCAGAACATGTGTGGCAAGTTACAATGCAGAAAAAAGGACTTGGTGAACGAAAGAATATTCATGGTCCCTATAGGCTATGTTTAACTGATCGAACATTAAGTCTGGTGAAAATTGGGGAAACGGATAGTTCAGATTTTCTTGAATTTGCTGTAAGCTCACTATCTTAATAAATGACATAGTCTGAGATGTGTGAAGGAACATTTTAAACTTGAAAAACATGACTGACAATATATTTTTATTTCATAGTTGAATTGCATCAGACGATGCGGACATATGGATCGTATCTTCTATATGGAAGTAGGTCGTTCAGCAATCACTGGTGGTGGAGAATTGTGGATGGAAGCTGAAGACAGCAACATAACACATAATATGCATGTGTCTATCATGAATGCTATGAGTAATTCTAGTAACAACAAAGATGATGTGGGGCCACGGCAGAGGAAGCGTAGTTCCTCTGCAACTGAGGCCAGCAAGCCAATCTCTGTCTTACAACGTCGCCATACTGGGCAAAAGGTCCATAATTTTTCACCACTTGGTAAGTTTAGACATTAAAGATTTCTATATATCTTGACATACCACCAGCTGCCTATTATAACTCTTAATCATAATTATTGTCCATAGAAGCACTTTTTTAGTTATGTAAATAAGTGCACATTTATTATATTTTAGTGTTTTATTTTCTTTAACACTATACAAGTTCCTTTTTTTAATCCATGTGTGAGTTGTTATCAGAGACATTGATTTCTATACATGATACTGTAACTGCACTATACTTTATGCTTTGAAAATATGAATTAAAACACAATACACACAATTAGAAAGTCAGCTTCAGAATAACACAGATGGGTTGCGGGTATTACAGAGGAACACAAGACGCACAAGGAGCAGGTGGAACCAGTGCAGGAACAGGAGCAGTCTATTCAGACTCAGAGTACCTCTTGCAATACAGTCACGGGTCTGTTTCCTGTCATTGTAGTTGTATTGCTTTTTTCTTCTCATGCGGGTATTAAAGGGTGACAAATGTGATAGCAATTCAGGATAATCAAATCTACCATTACAAAATTATTGTTTCAATTGCTTATTCGTATTAGATAAAGATTTAAATCTTTATTGGTGCTTATAAAGTGGTTACTATGGTCTACAAAGGATTGCATCATTCATTTCTTCGTGTTTGAATATAATCGAAAAAATAATTGGTAAAACTCTATGTATCATCATAAAGTGAATTCGAATTTAAAAGATTTTAATATTCAAGTAATTCAATTTTATATTGGCCGTTGGTTTCCAGAAATATTTCATGACTGTATAAAATGATTATAATGATTGCATAGTTATCTGATATTATGACAAAATTTGTACAAGATTTTATCGGTTTTCCAGTAGACTCGGAAGTTCCCTAGTATTGCACAATATGTTTCAATATTATTCACGTGACGTACTTGCATTAAAGCGATTGCGTAGAAGAAAATTGTGACCTGCACATGTTACAACATAAAATGGTACAATTTCAAAAAAATCATCTGTTAGGAAAAGATACCCTTGTTCTCAAAATTAATAAACAATGCATAGTCGTTGCATCATCGACGAAAACCTTGGTCGAATTTTTATCACAAGTATCATTGCGAGAGTTTAAATTTTATTAAAAATATATAAAAGTGGAAAAGTAGTTGTATGACAGTGAGAGCTGTGTGGTTTGCAGCCGTTGCTGGTACCGGGGCTGGAACTGCTGGGATTGCCTCGACTAATACCAACTGTGCCACTACCACTAGACGTCGTCATTCGGTAGCGAGTCATCCCCATTCCGTCAATAATTCCCAATCCATTCATGTTACAACAAGTGCAACCACAACAGCAACTACCACCACTATCACCATCACTACGACCGCTACCGTGACCACCACAACCACAACCGCGACAATATCCCATCAGAGAACCCTGTCGCTGCCCTTAGCTGCCGTTATTATCAATCAAATGCAATCATCTAAAAGATCAGTTTTACGCTGTATGTATTTTTATTTGGTCATACGATAAGTCAGCAAGAGATATTTTTTTGTTTCTCTTTTAAGTGTCTCTGCCTCGCTGTTTCCTGTTTTCTGTTCCAACCCATATCTATTTCTTCATCCCTCTGATCGGACGTTAAAGTCTCGATAAAACTGCTCGTCAAATCGAAGCTATTATTGCTTTATCGTACAATGTTTCGATCCTTCGCCAGATTCTTGCGTTCTGTCGTAGATACTATACGTATATGCCAGAAGCTTCTACTCGCATGCGATCAGTTGCACGTCACTTGATAACAAAGTTACAATTTGTTACTTCTGTTTCTTCGTCGTGGAAAGCGATCAGTGGAATACTTCACGCGGCATTCATGCCCTGCGCATAGGTTATATTATGTCTGATTTCTCCTGCCATTTTGGAACCATCACTCTGATCACGATCCCATTGCTTGTACCTAAAATATATGTTTAAATGAATAACAAACTGTATACATGAATATGCATAAATATATACGAACCGATATGGAATCATTTGGATATGCAAACGAACTAACCGCTGCTACGCTGGGACCATGGATGTTTTTCAAACTTTGTTACCTGGGCTATATGTTCCGGGACGATGTTTCTAACCAATATCATTTTAGGTCCGAACGGGCGTGACAGATGCGACAGCCTTCCATCGAGGGCTCGTACCAGCAGCGAGAGTCATCCTACATCGGTAATGAGCCATTCGAGGAATAGCCACTTCGCGTCTCACATCCTGAGACCACATTCGATGTACGTGAAAGGCCTTTCCTATTCACCACCGATCGCTTCGATGCCTATTAGCCCCGCTTCTGGAGCCTGTTCCACGGACTCCGCGGGATCATCCCTCTCAATGGACGATGGTGGCGAAAGTGCGTTAGAGGAGAGCGCGGTCTCACGATATGGGCATTCGTTGACGCCCGATGAACCGGTCATATTAGAGGAGAATGGAGACGATTATGCTCCTTGGTCTTTATCACACTCGAATCCGAAGTATTCGCCAAATTTCAAATCTCATTCTCCTTCCCAGGTGGGTGGAGATTCGTGTAGCCTACGAAGCAATGATTCACAATTTAACCTATCCAATTTCCTGTCTTGGCAGCAGAGTTCCTATATAGATATGTATAGTCCTTATGGATCGAGCCCTGGTCGCAGTGGAGCCTACATGCCAATGAGTTCGGGGACAGGTCATTCGCATTCACGAGGGTCATCATTAGTTGAGGAAAGTAATACTTTACCAGAGGGTTACGTACCTATGGCACCCGTTGGAAACAATGGATATGTCGATATGGAGCCTTCGCATAGTCACAATGGCCATTTTCCTGACGACATGTCGCAACACGGTGGCAGTAGTTGTTCGGTTACTTCTGGCACGCCTAGCACAGACTTACGGTTTTCCGAATATCATCTGGATAAGGTGGCGAGCTTTCTACCACCTGGAGATGATTTAACTAGACCAGCGAGAGCTTATTCGATCGGTTCTCGGCCAGAACCCACAAATAGGCACCGTAAAAATAGGTATGAAATTTTAAGTAAAATTCACCCTTTCCTTTGTTTTTGTTAATATAAATTTATGTGCATAGGATGTTACAAAGTAAGTATCATGTAATGTATCGAGAAAATATGAACTCTTAAATAATAGGAAAAAGCCAGACGAAGATGAAAGAAACTTATATTTATATTTGTAAAGTTAAGTATATATATATACTTAAACTTATATATATATATATATATATATAT